GAATTTATCAAGGTAGCTCAGGACAAATGAATGTTTCTAAGGATGGGACATTTCTCCTTCATCCCCCAACCCTTCTTAAGCTCTGGATGCAAGCACACTTGTACACACATGCTGACATCAGCAAACGAATGAGATTAAAAATCTTTTTCTATGGAAGGTAAAGAATATTTCCATTCAATCTACAAGATGCCCCGTTTGAATAGCAGTTACCCAGGTGATATGAATTTGTGTTATGTCATTTGTATTATGAAAACATTGTTGCCTCGTTAACCAGTTTCTGTGTAAGTTCATAGCCTTCCATACTGCTTATAGGTGCTAAAACTTGTCTGGCATACATAAACTCAGCGAGAAATTTATTCCAGAAATCTTAAAATATGACAGAGAGGAAAGTCAGGCATAGGAAAATAAAGAATGAGTTAACAGTATATTTTAAAAGTTATACTGATTGATTATCATTAGAATGTTTTTACCTAATTATTGGAAGAAGCATTGTAAGAAATTGTGTAATATAGACCAGAAGCATCTTGACTCTTTATATAAAGTAATTGGGGTAGGGAAGGGAATTGTACTTGATTATCAATAGCTTTCTTATCTTTTACCTATATTTTTATATTGCTAATATTTCAAATGCAAAGTTTATTAAAGCTCTAAATGGGGAGGGAGGGGGATTTTCCAGTGTGTTATTTGTTCTAACACAAAGTAGATTAATCAATTGAAAGTAAGGAGATCATCAGAAAGAGTCCTGAACTGTTCAGAAAAATCTCTTGAGGTTAGCTCATTAAAAACAGATATGTGGCCCGTTTGCATTTAACAGAATGCAATGTGATTGTTACCCGAAAGTTAATACTCAATAAAGCGTCAGGATAAGCAGAAGTCCTTGAGGAACAGTATAAAGGACATTTAGCTATTTGTTTAGCACTATCAAACTATAACTTTGACTATTGTGCTAGCGATCTGATAGGTGACACAGAGATGACTGACACATAAATAAATACAATGAATATACCTCATTAATTTTAGGGTGTGTTAATATCACCCGGAGCTTGCTAACAAAATTCAGGGTCCACATCCCAGAGACTCTGATTTTAGATCGGCTGTTGCTACTTCTTGCACAAACTGTAATTTTAGGCACTGGCTTAGGACCTGACCACCACTGCTCCATTCTCACAGTGATTTTTCATCAGTATTCATGCTCTGGCATTGATATAAGTTTTAGGGTAGCTAGATATGCTCTTCATAGGAGAGAAGCTGCACATGTTTTATCACAGTTGCCAATGGTCTTCTAGTTCCATTGGAATATCGTTGAGCTCTTGAAGACTTAAAATTTCTTTCAAATATTGGCAGAATGTTAATGACCCAGATGCTTAGCGGGCCTTCCGTTAGATATATTTAGTCCACACAGGATGAACTTTGGGAACTTCACCCAAATGGCTGATGGAAATATTTCTTTTGGAACATGGAAGCCAAATTGTCTCTTTGTCCTCAGTAGTGGCAGCTTTGTTTTGTGGAGGCAGGGGCTAGCATGGGGCTGAAGCTCACATCAGCCATTTGGTCCCTGTGCTTTTCAGTGGAATCACAGCATGTTACAATATTTTCCTTTGCAGCTTAAACATTGTGCAAATCCAGACATCCGGAGATGCTAAAATGAAAAATCTGTTTCCCTTTGCTTTGCCATTTGCAAAGTGGACTCTGTCAGACAGTACATTCTGTACATTTCACGTCAGTGAAATTAGCCTTAATGTGTTGGCAACATCTGTCACAAAGCACGGTTCAGCCCATGGCTTAAACACACTCAGTAGGAATGGATTTGACAATGCATTTAATGAGGCACAATTATGGTTGAGGGCCCTGGTTTTGCCTTAGCAACCATGAGGTTTTCCCTTTTTTAAAAAAATTTGTTTCCTGCAATACTAAAAAGCAGATTCTATAATCTTGGATAAGTGAAGTGGCTGGCAAGCATTGTTCTTTGTAATGGGTAAGCAACACACAAGGTTTAGAAGGCCCTTCATTGCCTGTAATAAAATATCATCAAGAAAATTCATTCCTTGAAGTGTTCTTGTCAATGCCATCCAACTTACTCATTAAATGTCTTCCACTCCCCCGCAATTAAAGATTTTATGTTCTAAATAATGTGGGGAAATGTTTTATTCATTGAGCATTTTTACAGTATGTGCAAGGAAGTATAGTCTTTCATATCTTCAAGTTTCCTCCGTTTATCTTTTAACTATTTGTAGCAAGTGGTTGGCTTAGGAAAGGAACATTTTTTACATCGTTTCCCACACTGTGCCTACTGCTGCTATTTCCATTTTCGAATTATGTCAGATATCTTTCCAGTCTTCTCTTTGACTGACAGGTTTCTGATTTATACACAGAAGCGACACTCAATCCTTGCCTTTCATAATCAAATGAATCCCCCAACACCTCCTCTGTGAAAACACAGTGCTTCCTAACTTAATTTCAAGTATAGGTGCACAAACCTTTTTTTTTTTTTTAAGTTTTTTTTCTTATTGCAAAGTCAGATATACAGAGAGGAGGAAGATCTTTCGTTTGTTGATTCCCTCCCCAAGTGTTTGCGACAGCCAGAGCTGAGCCCAAATGAAGCCAGGAGCCAAGAACTTCCTTCAAGTCTCCCACACAGGTGCAGGAACCCAAGGCTTTGGGCCATCCTAAATTGCTTTCCCAGGCCACTAGGCCACCCCGACACCCTAACCCTTCTATGAATTGTGATTGCTATGTCACAGGCTCACAGGTCTCATTTGTATATTTCCTTCCAAAGTGTGACACACACACCCAGATTAGTTGGACAACCTCCAAATTGTGTTGAAGAAAGCACCCATAGCAAACACAATTTGTTGTTTATCATTAGTGTATAGGAATGATCGTATACGAGTCTAGAGCAGACTGATTAGAACAAAGATTTACCTGCATGTTAGAATGCCCAGATAACTTAGATCTCAATTCAGCCTTGCACACGAAAAGATAAGAATGTTGTAAATGTGTCATTTCACCTTTCCAAAGTTGCTTCAAGATTTTCCCCTTAACTCTGAGGTTATTCTGTAATTTATGCTTTAGGTGATTTAAGAAGAACCCTAGTTCTTCTTAATGAATTTACTTCTCTGGCACAACAATTACGAAGGCCAGCAAGTACTCATTTTTAAAGGGAAAAAAAATTAAGATGCTTTATAAGCTATTCAGGCAGCAGGGAGAAAAAGTGATGTGGTATAGTTGTAATTATATATAACAGCTTATCTTAGCATATCTTCCATTGAAGAAGTATTGTAGTGAATTACAATTCGCAGAAGCATCAAGAAATTCACAGAATACAAATGTACCGTCATGTGTATTTACAAGCTACAAATCTATAAGTCGACATGTGTTTCCTGATTGAGTCTTGCTCGGAAGTCCAAATGTTACTTGTTCATCAAGCTTTTCCAAATATTTGGCTCAATTTTTTATTTTCTTTCAAAATTAACCAGAAGGAGGTCATTGAGGATGTTCAATGGCTCCCTGATCTCTTATCAGCCACACTCAGGAAGTTGGATTTGACAAAAACCATAAGAGGGTGAAAATCCCATGTAAAATCTCACTTCAGGAAACAATTCCCTGGGGGTCGCTGAGTGCTGAATCAGACCTCACTCTGTTTCTACAAATCATCTAGAAAAGATGGAAAGAAAGATGACATAGTCAGCTAGATGATATTTTGGAAAAAGAGTAACTGATTCAGATAGATAACCATTTTATAACTGGGTGTTTTAATGGGCCAATATGCCATAAGGTCTCCCTTTATTACAATCTTTAAAATATGTCACTGCAATTGTGTAATTTCAAAGAATCCATGCACCTTATTTTTGTTGTTACAAATTGCATCTTTTTCCAAGTTGGCTCATTGAAGGAGCAAAGTAGAAGAAGAAGGCTTAAAATAATTATGGCCTGACTCCATTTTCCTCTAGCCATATGACCCCTTGAGTTTGGATGGAAGATTATAACATGTCTGTTGTTGTTATATTGCCAAGAGTTAAAATAAATCTAAACTCTATAGGCATATCTTTCCTAGCATCTGACCAAAAAAGCTTGACAGATTTGCTTTTTCTGTGTTTTTTTTAAAAGATTTATTTTTATTGGAAAGGTAAATCAGATTTATGGAAAGAAGGAAAGACAAAGAGAAAGATCTTTTATCCATAGGTTTATTCTCCAAATGGCCACTACAGCTGGAACTGAGCCCATCTGAAGCCAGAAGCCAGGAGCTTCTTCTGGGTCTTCCACATGGGTACAGAGTCCCATGGCTTTAGGTCATCCTCTGCTGATTTCCCAGGACATAAGCAGGGAGCTGGATGGGAAGTGCAGCAGCTGGGGTACAAACTAGCACCCATATGGAATCCTGGCATTTTTACAAGAACATTGAGCCATTACACTAGGCCCTTTTCCTGTACATTTTATTGTATCAAAAAACATACATATTTAGTCTGCTTTTCTAAAGTTTAGAACACACCATTCTTGCGTAAAAGTATAGGAAGGTAGGAAATAGCCAAAATACATGGGAAATAGTAAACTTGTTTATATTCTTCAGTGATGAAACCCACCAGGGCCTTCACTGTTCTCTCAGAGAGAATATTTGACTGATCAAGAATTATCTTGACTGAATCATGGATGAAAATCATAAAAAGCAGTGAATCTCCATCAATGTGTTTCTTAATGAGAAATGTTCAGTAACGGGAGAGAGGGTAGATATTATATAGGAAGTGGTGTCCCACATCCATTGTGGGAAGTGTAGACAGCGGGCATTTAAACACATCTCAGAAGAAAACCACATCAGAGAAGAGGAAGCTTTTAGTGCGATATTCATATAAACACAAAATGACATGGATTTTCACTCATTGAACCAAGTTTGAGTTAGCTTTTTCAATAATTTGTTTACCCACGAACACTGTTGATTGCATTATCTTTGTAAACGTTCCTTTCTGTGGAACATGTTGTCAGCTGCATGTTGTGTGTGTTTTTAGGGTGCTGTGATTACACCAACAATGGACCATCCTATGTCAATGCAGCCCACCAACATGATGGGTCCCCTGACGCAGCAGATGAATCACCTTTCATTGGGCACAACAGGAACGGTGAGTGGAAGAGTCCTGCTTTGTTTAATCAAACTGACCTCTTTGATCAGCTACAGCATCCTCTGATTTCACCAGCATTGTCAGCAAATTGGTACAGCACCGTTGACCAACACACGTTTCAGGCCCTAGTATGAATAAACGAATTCCACATGTATGTCCAATTTAAGGGCATGTTTATTCACCGTGGTTAAACAAAGGGGCCCTTTACGTTGGTTTTAAATTTTAGTCATTTCCATTTCTTATGACATAATACACCAGGTATAATATCTGTTTTTGCAAAAGTTTCCTTTTTTTCACACACCTACAAATCTAGACCCGGGGATTTAATATACTTAAGTCTCATTTTCTTTTCCCAGATGCTTGCTAACAATTCAAGCAATAGATTATTCCTAGCTTATCTGCAAGAAAAGGGGCCAACTCTATGCCTGACAGAAGGCGCTTTTCATTTACCTTCGATGTATACACCAAGAAGAAGTAAGGCACAGCTTAATGTCATTGAGTTCCTCTACTGTTTCTGTGAGCATGTTGATAAAGATGATGGTGAAAGAAGGAAGGGTGTTTAATGTGCTTGATCTTTTGCATCAAAGCATTTTTCACTAATCCTTTTCTGCTTACAAAATAAAATTATGTTAAAATGCCTTTAACATCTTCAATCTTCGGCTTCGTACCAGTAAGGCATTTTTTTTTTAAAGAGGGGCAATATCTATATATATTTTAACACAGGTTCCCTGTGTTCAAGGAAATAGATACCCAAATACTAAATAGAATACTGACTCATTATAGAGAGCAGTAGAAACAGCACAGACAACTTCATATGTGACTCCAGCAATGCTAGCTTCTTTTTCCATAAACATTAGTATAGATAATTTTCTCACTTTTAATGATGTCAAAAAATAAATAAATAAAAGGCTTACAAATTTAGCAGTTTAAATACTTTCTACAGAGCACTGGACTAGAAATCACAAATGCTAGACTCAACTTGCTTTCAGTCCAGTTGTCTCTCACGCTCCTTTGAAAGCATGATCTTCCGGCCTCAATTCCTCCTTCAGTTGAATTATTGAACTCGATGATACTTGGGATCCCTTCACTGACATAATTTCATATTTAAGCCTATTCAGTCCTAGCCTCTTTTAGTTTAGTTTTTTTTTTTTTTTAGATGTCATCTACTAAAAAAAAACACCATGCCTGTTATCAGGACTTTACTTATACCAATGGCTCAGTTGCCAAAAACGTGTTGTTGACTCATCGGCTTTTTGCGGTGTACAAAGCTTCTCACATATGCACTGAGTCTTCTATAATCCATGCTAAATAGCAAGAGAACTCCTATACCTACATGAAAAGAGTCACTTGGCTTCAGTAACGAAGTTCAGTTCTATGTACATGAGCATACTGTTCATGTCGAAGGCTTCAGTTACTGAACCTGTGAAAAGCAGTTGATGACTGTTGACTAGTATGAAGGCTTCGGATATATCAAATGTTTTCTTAGGTTTCTGATTAAGATTTTTAGAAGCAATATTGAAGACTAGCTTTGATGATGCATGGTGACACAACAGATTTTCATCAGGGAAATAGAGCTTGAAGGTGTAATATTGTTTCCCTTTTATTAACTTACATAGAGTCACTTTTAACATTCAAAACAAGCCAGCTTCAAGAACAGAGATGCAAGGCCATTCGTTTCTCAAGTCCCTCTTGCAGGCAGCTCTCTCTGTCCACTGCTTTTCCCTTCGGTCACATTCATGCTGAACCAGGGAAATGATTTAACTTTTTTTTTGGATTTAATGACAATCTGGAATCTGTTAAAAGAGGAAAGTTAAAGCTACTTAAAACATAGAAAGAGACACACTTCAGATTTGGCATGTTTAAATCTAAAGCAAAGCTAGCTGAGTTGCTCAAGTTCAGGTCTCTGAATACAAAAATAAAAGAGCTACATTTACTGAGTATAGCAACAAATCCTCTCATGAATAGGCTAACACACATAGAATAGACTAAGAATTGTAAGTTATTATTCAATATACACGACAATTGTATTTTTGAGCATTTACAACAGAACACATTTATAGGAGATTGCTTTTACCTGGCAGGAAATAGTTAATAATAATTAAATAATGTGACACCAATTTTCTTTGTGATGTGGCATATTTTTAATATCAACTGTCCTCTAGATTTTTGATTTTTTTCATTCTTTATTTTCCTTCATATATGTAACAGATAATGTAACTATTATGAAAATATTTAAAATTTTAAAAGGAGGTCTGGAAAAATAGAAAATGGTGGTCTAACTTTGTTGATTTGTTCAACAAAACAACATTAGATGTGTTAGTTTCCAGAATTTTTTTTTTCTCAAACTGCTACATTGTGATATGCCAGTAGAGGTTCCATTTTATTTGGATTTGCTTGGTCATTTAAGTGACTGCTATGTAGATAAGTGTATATTTTTTAAATCAGATTTTCTCATCCAATTGAATTGTTGCAACATTTTCATTGGCTCAGGGAAGGAACCCATCAGTATGGATGACCAATAGGCTTTAGACTCAAAATTAAATTCAGTTTTGTTTTCTGTCTCTGCCCTCTTACTACCCCTGCATGTTCAGGCACCTTACTTAACCTCTTGGAACTTTCACTTCCTCTTTTATGAAGTGGAGTGACAATGTTTACATATCAGGGGTGTTGAGATGTTACATGAAATGATAGCTATAACCTACCTAACACACAGTGGGCATGTATTCAATGAACTGTCCTTACCTATCATGGCTTCTAATTGGTGGGAGACTCATACACAATGGCAGAAAGAATTTAGCATCCACATGAGACAAGAAGGAGTCCTTTAATTTCTCCACTTCAGCTACTGATGTAATCCCCTAGGATAGTGACTGTGATTCGCATTCAAGCAAAATATATTTCAAAATCATTAAGACACTCCACCAATGTCCTGGAAAAGAATAGTATTACAAAGACAAATTTATTTTGGTGCAAAAAAATAAAAAAAGAAGAATTCAAACCCATCCACATTTTTTCATGAGCTGATTTCCAGGCACATTTTGAAGATCATTCTCTCATCAAAATTTCTCTATGTTTGCTAACATCATAAAGAGTCATATCACAAAAACTTATGATGTTACAGATTATAGTTTAGAAATTTTCAGTGCCATAAGAATAAGCTCTCTGCCTGAATATTGGGCACATATATGGGAGTGTGGTGTCTTTGGTATCCTGAAATGTACATGGTTTGTCTGGAAAAGGCAGACAGCATCAACTCCTGACAGCTATTGCTACATGTCACATGGAGTTAGAGCAGTCCTACCTTCAAGATTTTCAAGATAAGATAAATACTTGGAGTTTGATATAAATCCTCAAACATCTGAATATTGTACCCAATTTCCCCACCCCCAAGCAACTCCCAATTTGTCTCTGAGGTTTTCCTGGCTCTCCTCCAAATTCTTTGGCCATTGTTTGTTTTTTCTTGAATGGGTGTCTGAGCTTCATTTTTAACTTATTTTATTTTTCATTCCTTATGCAATATCATTAACTTTCATGGTTTGAAACCCTGTTTTTTTTAATGCTAACAACTCCTAAATTTGAGCCCCCAGTGTTAACCTTAGAATATTAAGCCTACTTTTGGAACTAAGTATTAAATATCTCCATATAAATCTCCCTCAGACATTTCAAAGTTAGCATGACCTGCACTAATCTCATGAGAGTCCTTCCAACTGAGCACTCTTCCTCTTTGTTTCTGTTCCCTGTTTCCTTACAAGCTAATGTCATGAGCATTTTACCCAGCAGCAAAATCACACCTGCAGACTTCAGTCCACACCCTTACCTTCCCCCTCCTTACCATATGCAGTCATTGATCAACAACTCACAATTTTGTTTAATAGATTTTTTGTCAAGTGCATCCTTTCTTCCATATTTCCAATATTTCTGCCTTGGGCCTCATTTGATATATTGTAATATGCTGGTAATTGCTCTTTCTGCTTTCACTCTCAATTTTCTCCAGTTCGTTTTGACCATGCTGCCACAGAGGGCTAATTAAAGCATAGGACAGTATCTGTCTCCTTTCTGTACTTTTTCTTAGTCTTTCAGACACCTGAGGTCATTGACATCCTGCCAGGCAAGACATGAGCTATTTCAGTGAAATTGAGAGAGGGGCCTCGACTCCAGAAGAGATGAGTTCCAAGAACAGATCAGAGTGATATGCAGTGAACAGAGTATTCAGTGAGCAGGGCTAACAGCTGGAGCTGGATTAGAATGCTACACTTTTAGAAGGAGTTGCTTTGGCCTTGGGTTCCATCCCCTTTGCCTCATATATTCTCAGTAAAGGAATTGTATTGAGGCAAAGCTCTTTTTTTTTTTTTCATCTTCCCAATAATAGATATAGTTGGTCCTGAATAACCCCAGATTTTGAAATGGGTGCTATTTAGTTTAACATTTCTCTACAATTTCCCATATCAGAAGTTTGCAACTTAATTCTTTACTTGTTTTTAAGTTGAATAAAATCCACACTCCTAAAAAAACATAATGAACTTTATGCAAGCAGTGTACTTGCATTATTCCAAGGCTGTGCTGACCTTGAGAAATTTTTGTGGCTTTTCTGCTTTTGTTTATTTTTTGGTACAGGATTTCCTTGATAGCGCCAAAGCCGCATTATCCCTGATTTCTTATCACCGTGCTGTAAGCTTTCGCAGAAACCACTGGGGATTTTACAGTGTCACAAGAACCTCTGCATTGCATGACAATCTTGTTTTACAAGTTGCTTATCTCCTTCTCATTTGTTCAGTTGCTGGTCACCACTGGCTTACGATGTCACCAACATCTGTTGAAAGAAATTGAAAGTTTTTATTCTGCAGGCACCTTGGCTATTGTGCTGTGAGTGTGTGCTCCAAGCCACTGGTGATTTCTGAATCATTGGTTTCACATGGTAGAACAATGGCCATCCACAAAGTAAAATTGTGCTCCATTCGGTGACTGCTGTTCCATAACATGGTAGTCATGCCATTCCTTCACTGCTGTGAAACTCTGCTTGGAGATTGTCTCTTTGCTCACTATTCGATATAAATACAAAAGACTGAGAGTTATAAAAAGAATACAAGGGCTGTTATATGGAAATATTGTGTATGAATTAGTGGACTAAACATCAGTGAATACATATCCTCAAATTATTTTCAGGAAAAAATACAAGTTAATTCATAATGATCATGGTAAGATACAGAGAAAGAAGAGATTGTAATAAGTACGTTAGTTCTTACTGTAAAATGACATCGATTTATTTCCTAATATTGATTGTTGTTGTTACAAATTGGACTGTGAGCGCAAGTAAATTAAAAACACAATAGAAAAGCTATATTAATTAAAATGTCAAAAAAGATTGCTATTAAAGAGTATATTCAAATCATACTCAACATTTAAGAAACTATGGTCAAGGGAAATGTTGAGTTTCAATGCTGATCAATATTCACTTATGTTGGTCAAGGTGCTTTGCAATATTCATGTTCCAATCTGTCTTCCCACATCACAGAGAGAGAGATTAACACCATTCTACTTAATATCTCCTTGCAAGAAGATGCAAGTGAGAAATTTGTGATAGCCCAAAAGTTATTAAACAGATAGAAAAATAACATTGGAACTTTAAACTGTTAAAATGGAATATAATTTATATGAAAAAAATGCAGGTTTGTGCAAGAGCATTTCTTAAAACTATGCTTTGGCATGGCATTTGAATGTGAGCAAATAACAAATCCATTTTATACTGTTCGCCCCCTTCCAGGTGAGTTGGGACGAGATTCAAATTTTCTACTTGTAAGAGTGGCACTGAGGGCAGGGATCTCTGGCCAAAGAAAGTCTGCTGGGCAGATGTGTTTTTCATCTCCAAAGCATTTATAATTTGTCCTAGCTAACCAAATGTCAAGCTGACTGCCATGCAGTTTATTTAAGCTTCTTCTACATTTGTCACCTTCAACATCCTCTGGTCAATAGGTTCTGTTTCATGTGTGTCTGCTCCCACACTTATCTCACGTTAAAATCCTTGACCTTGAGTCAAACTTCCTTCTGGTTTGCTTCACAGGCAACCAAATGGGATCAGAGCTGAAGCTCAAAGGACCATGAGCCCTTGGCTTCAAAAATGCGTTTATCTCCATAGACTGTGGGACATGGGGAATGTGGTACATGTACATATCTCTTTTACATTTCTGTTCCATCTTTGGTCCTTCAGGGCTTTATTTCATAGCATTACTGGGCTATGAATACCTGATTTGCCTCATAAAAAATCTCTTGGGTCAGCCAGAGAGGGTAACTAATTCAATGAGGAAAATGAACATATTCTGGGACTCACTATTCGGTCATGGAAGATCACACTGATTTTAAGAACCTGGTCAACGTGGAAATGGAAACCAAACCATGGTATTTGCTGTAATCTGAGGATTGCAAAGACTTGACCACTTGAAGCCCAGAGGTTAGCTGATCACAGCACACACATTTGGACTCTCCACATTTTAGAACTAAGATTCTATTTTATTTTCTTTTGTACTTCATTGCATTCTTTCTCATGCTCTTTTCATTCAAAGATTCAATCCCAAGACAGGATTATGATACTCCACCAGCTGTTGTGTCAGGTAGGAAAATTCTAATTCCTTTAAGGCTTCCTTGGAGGGGTGAGATGGCGGTTGCCTGGTTTTCTCCAAAACTCTTTAAAGCAGTGATCCTCAACAGGGTTGGGCAGTGGCAATTTCAAGTTGTTTGGCATGGGGCGTATGTAGCTGTGAAAATTATATGTAATGTTATCATCTAGTTTTAACCCTGAAAAAGTTGATATGATGGAAAAAAAAAAGAATGAAAACTCAAAGACACATTGTCCGTCAAGGACACGTAGAAGACAGAGATAATGTATCAGTGATTCTGAGTGTTAGATAAGGTCATCAGAATTTTGGAGGCCTGGGAGGAGGAGTTTATATTTAGAAGCAAATGGCATGCTTTAATAATAACAACAAAGCCAGTTTGAGGAGCACTGCTTTAGAGACCAGAATTCTTTTAAAATTAGAAAGTCATCCCTATTTTGCTTGTTCAGCATTAAACACAGGGCCTAGCACGTAGTAGGCACTCAACATAACTGTTTGTTGAATGAATCAAAACTTCAAATTGGTTCTAAAATTATTATTTGGATATCAAAATAGGAGCTTCCAAAATTCCATTGTGCAACAAAGCAGCTGAGGTTAATTTGAGAACACTTTCATGTTTTAAGAATTTTAATTAGCAGCATTCAAGTTCTTTCACACAATCCAGGGGTACAGTTTATAAGAAGCATATGTAAGTGGAGAGGTTGGTTATTTTGAACTGCATAAATCCTTTTGCAATTTCATCTTACTTCTGAATTTTAGTTTCCAGCAGAGGGGAAATAAGCACTATTTTCCATTTTGTTAATATTTTCTTAACTAAATAAAATACTGGTGGTCTGAAGGATGTTGAACTCCTGGGTCTTTTGACGTGCCACATGGCAAAGACAAAATCAAAACCAAGGAGAACGTTGGAGAGACAATGCCAGACAAGAGATAAAATTCAGTAGCCCACAGGATAGGTCAATCTGGTAACCTGATGGCAATTTTCATGCAGAAAAGGTCCTGCCCTTGGCCACTCCTTTTGCTGGACTCAGCATCCTTTTCTCAGATCTTGTGACTTGTTTCCCTAACCCAGTGACTGAGCACTTACCTTGGAACTTCAAGCAAGAATGAGTTTAGTAAGGCACAAGGAGTTAGTTTTCAACTAGAAAGACCTGTCAAGACTCTTTAAGACCTCTATGCATTTCTCTTCATTTGAATGTCACCTCTTTGCTCAAAGTGTACAATCATATTTAATGTGCCAGCATCATTTAGGTTACTCATGGAACACTTTGCCCCAACCCTGAAGAAAGTTTATTTAATCAACCCAACTTACACTATGTTTACTATAAAGTTTATTTTTGTTTTTATTGGAAAGTCAAATATACAGAAAGATCTTCTTTCTGTTGAGGCACTCCCCAAGCAGCCACAACGGCCAGAGCTCAGCCAATGTGAAGCAAGGAGCCCAGAGCCTCCTCTGGGTCTCCCATGTGAGTGCAGAGTCCTAAGGCTTTGGATTGTCCTAAATTGCTTTTCCAGGTCACAAACAGGGAGCTGGATGTGATGTGGGGTCACCAGGATTAGAACCTGTGCTCATACGGGATCCCAGTGCATACAAAGCAAGGACTTTAGCCATTAGACTACCATGCTGGTCCCTAATACTATGCTTAATATCATTTTTTTTTTTTGGCATCTTCACTTCACAAGACCATTTGTCAGTGTTTTTTTTTTTTAATATGTAACAATTATTATTATAAAGCACATAAACAGGTGTGTGACTTCAACTAGCCTGAATCTTTTTTCCAAGTGTTTATGAACAAAACAATAAAAATATAGGAAATACTAGCTAGATATCAGCCATGGGTCAAACTCAGAGATAAATTAAGACAGGACTTCAGGATGAGAAACTAAGCTGACAAATTGCCATCTGGCTCCATCGTCAGGAGCTATTTAAAGTTCTGGAGATGTCAGATAACTTGATAAAGTAGCAATTTAAAAGACCGAATCTAGAGGTTTTGCATGTTCTTTAGAAAGAAGAAGAATTCAATGGAATTATTAGAAAGCCCAGGTCTGGAATCTTTACACACACCAAAAAAAGTTGTACTAAGTTTTCAACAGTAGCATGAAGGACAGGACAAATACAGAGTTAACATGAAAACGCATTTTGGGTTTTTCCCCTTTTTGGGAGAAGTGGGTTTTTTTTTATTTTTTGAATTTATCTAAGGTGAATACAAATCATCCCAATTTGTATTTTATATATGCGGACATTTTATATATACGGATTTAAGAGCATGATGCTTCCCGTGCTTTCCTGCCTCTCACCCACACGCCCACCCTCCCTTCTCTTTTATTTTCTTTTTACTTATAATTTTTGCAATGGCATACTTTGTTTTGTTATCATGAACTTAACGCTCCACCAAAGAAGGGATTCAACAAGTAGTAAATAAGAAAATAATATTTTGAAGGATGTCAAAGGTATTTGAGATCTGATGAATTACATATTGCACACTTTTGCTAAAACGTTAGTTTCCTGGTGATAGAGTTTCATTCACTTCTGAACAATTGTATATCTGTTGACTAATCCCTGTCACATCAGGAAAATTGAATGGGCAAGGGTGTTGTGTTATTTTCTTCCGAAGGCTCTCAGGGTGCCAATATTAGCCAGCAAAACTACTTCTTTATCATTGTAAAGGCCATTGCAGTTGCTAACTTGCTAGATATTAGAGTCTAAGACATCTTAGTTGGTAATTAAAAAGGAGCATAGCTCAACCTAATTTTGTTCAATTGGCATTTCAAACCTACATTGATGCTACTGAAATACTGAAAAGACAAACACCAAGAGAAAACAGACCCTTCCAGGGGATGGAGGAGCCTGCCATAATGTTGTTATTTGTGTTGTGCAATGTATGAAATACGGAGGAACGAGAATATAGGAGGAAGATTTGAAAATTTTAAGAACAAAGTGAATTTTGAGCTGGATTTGGGAGAATGAAGAGAAGTTTACCAGTTGTTTACGAGTGGGAAGAAACATAGGCAAATAATACTAGATGTATAACTCTTAGGTACAGGAAACAGTATAGAGTGATTAGGTCGCAAATCAATGAGGCTAAGTCAGGAAAATCTGATGTTGGCTAAGAACCCTTCTGAACCATACATCATTTTGTCCTTTTATTCATTTTAAGAATATTCATTTGTGGGAAATATACTATGTGGTGATAAGTGTGCCGGGTTTTAAGGATACAAAACCACCCTAAGAGCTCGGGCTCTAATTTGTAGGTTGAATATAAATATAAAACCATGTAAGAAATATTCCAGGAAAAGCAATACAATATTTATGCCTGTAAACTTATCAACAGGATGTCTGAATTCACAGTCTGTTTTGGATATTCATTAGCTCTGGAACCTTGGGAAAATTAGCTTCCTTATAGCTTAGATTAGTCATCTGGAGAAATAAAAAAATTTTGTGGGCATAAGATGAGATAAATTGTATGTAATCTGATTACAATAAATTTTGTCACGAAATAAGTGCCCAAATATTATTAGCCACTGCCATATTAATCAGTTTTGACACTGGGTACTGTGATAACACAGAAAACAAGTAACGCTCAAGGTATTTTTAAGAAGTTCATGGAAAATGTGTGCTGTAAATAAACTGTGCTCGGATTTCAAAATGTGTTTGCAACAGAACAGACATCTGTTCACTTCCATCTCTCCACCAATTGTGAAGTGCTTCCATCAAGTAGAAAATGTCAGAGAAAAAGTCTCGGTGAATAAAAGAAAAACTAACGTAAAGACACATGTGAATTAGCTTAATGAAAAATAAGCCACAGAGAACAAGGGGTGAGCATTGGCTTGTGTGAAGGCTCGGGCAGAAGAGTACGGTGAATTCATGGAGACTACAAATGATACTGGTAGAGAAGCAAGGACTACAGAAAACATCCCTGGAGAACAACATTAGCTGAGTAACATCACTAGATATAACAAGTCTATCGTGCTGGCACTACACAAAGATGTTTTAAAAATCCTAAGTTGGCACGTTATTACTCTGGCTGTAAGGTAAGAAAAACAAACAAAAAAAAAATGTATGTGAGAGAGGTGTAAGTAGGAGTGAAATGAACTCAGGAATACAATCCAATGGAGAAACCACAGTGATGTCATTTGGATCATGACAATACAATGACAATGTAGAGTTGATAAGTTTTTTTGACATATTCAGAAGGTGGAACCCATAGGGCTTAAAAGCCATCTGAATATTAGAATAAAAGAAGAGAGAAGGATTAAATCTAGCTTTTAAGTTTTGAGAAATCGGGCTCAGTACGACAGCCGGGATACCGTATGGTCACCAGTTCTAATCCCAGTGGCCCTGCTTCCCATCCAGCTCCCTGCTGGTGGCCTGGGAAAGCAGTCTAGGATGGCCCAAAGCTTTTGGATCCTGCACCCAGGTGGGAGACCTGGAAGAGCTCCTGGCTCCTGGCTTTGGATTGGCTCAGCTCCTGCCATTGCGTTCACTTGGGGAGAGAACCATTGGATTGAAGATCTTCCTCTCTGTCTCTCCTCCTCTGTATATCTGCCTTTCCAATGTAAATAAATTGATCTTTTTTTAAAAAAAAGTTTTGAGAAATCAACAAGATAAGGCATTATTTCCTAAGATGCGAACCACAGAAAAAATGAAGTTTCCCAAGCAAAAGGATAAGACCATTTTAGAAATCGCTAAATATGAGATTTCTTCAGTGTATCCGGGGAGATGTTTCACACAAGTTTGGATGCATTTTTTTGAGCTCAAAAGATCCATCCAAAATGGAGGTAAATTTCAGAGTGACAACATGAAATTAAATCATGTCATCCAGGAGAATGTGCCTAGAGTCAATATATGGAACAAAACTTTGAAAACACAGGACTAGGACAAAACAACCGCTTTTTAAATAGACTAGAAAAGAGAACACTGGATACAGAAGGACACATAGGTGTGAGGCTTCAAAGAAACCAATAGTAAGGGATGTTGGAAAAAGACAGGCATATTT